CAATTATTTGTGAATTAAAATATGCTGAAGTGTTGCTAGTATGTGTTGCATGTGCATTTGTGTGTGTGTGATGTAAAGTGTGTGTGTGAGTGTTATCTCTCGCTCTCTCTCTCTCTCTGTGTGTGTGTGTGTAACACAGGCACAGGTTCCTCCTATCCTAAGAGTTAATTAATAGTTAATTAGAGCCACATTATTAAGAAACTGGCAGCATCTGTATCAGGGTGTGTCTCTCTCATTGTGTCTTCCTACCTCCATGACACTTGACTCTGCAGTCCACCCTACCTAAGGATTAATTGCATACTGTAAACTTATGTAATGTATGCATGCTCAGTGTTTTATTTTAATATATGACTACCTACATATTCAAAGTAAAGTTCACTACAAATGTCTACAGTTCTATGGCTATTGCTATAGGTTTTTGATGTGTTAGACTATATTGCAAGTACCCTACATCAGTGTTTACCCTAAATCCCACTTTATCTGCTGATGCAATTCAGTAACAGGCTCGTTAACACTTAAGTTAACCAATTATCACGAAGCAATGACATTTTAAAATATACTGGGGTTCTATGCTAAGCTTACAACTGTTTAATACAATATAGGCTACTGTCAAAGAAAACAAAAACACAGGAGCTAACTGGCAGAAGTAGTATGAAAATGACTTGTGCTAGCTGTATTTTCTGTTTTCTTCTTACCTCTGCGGCACTAACTGTCCTCCGCTGCAGCAGCCGAATTCGGTTAATTTTACGCATTTAGCAGCTTCGGACTTAAGCCCTTTTTTTTCCTTTCTCAAAGTTTTTCTGCACCACCTTTCCTTTTTTACGGTCCACTATCTAGCTTTTACTGAAAATTAGCTCGTGTTGCAATCTCTATGATGACGTGCTTGACTTTGACTGAACGGTTCGGTCGGCCCATCTCGGGACCAGGCGGCCGGCTGTGGCACGACTGGGCAAAATGCTTAACATTTATTTATTATCAACATTATTATTATAACCATAGAGAAATCGTGCAAGCGATAAAAACCCGTCCTATGCGCTGTTGGCCCGTAAAAACAATTTTATTTATATATATTTAGAAAAAATCTGACCAGCCCACATTAAACAAAATGGTCCGGCCCCTCGCATTTGCCAGAATTGCCAGATGGCCAATCCGCCCCTGAGCGCGCCTAAACGCTGTATTCGTGTAGGAAGCACGAGAACAGAACAGACCGGGTGGGCATACAAACGTAACGCCAGGTTCATACACTCCGTCTGTGGTGCGTATTTTTTCCGCGCCCATGTTAACGGATCAGAGCGTTCACACTGCACGCGATTGCGGTCCGGCAGTGCGCTCCAGGAGTGGTGCGTCTGCAGCAGTCATGCTGCGATCGTTTCCGCACGGAGTCTATAGGCCCGGCCGTATACTTCACTCTCCGCGTTCCGTTCCGTCTCGCGCACAGCCGCGTCCGCACAGGTTTCAAAGTATACTCAACCGCGGATGACGAGCTCGACACAGGCGCAAGTCTACTTCTGCTGTGCTGCCCGTGCTGAATTAAAGTGACAGCGTATTATTCGCGGTAAAAATTAACATGGATTGACACGGAAATTTAATTAAATAAATGCATATAATTAAAGTCTACTGTTTCACAGACAACACATGGCAAAGTGCACTTTTAGATAAACAAGGCAATAATAGATGGCACTCGAGGTGGTAGTTAAAGTTATATTTATTGAGTTTAAACGTGAATGTCTATAAAAGATTATTACTGTACTGTGATAAAAGAGAATCACCATGCTGAAAAAGCATTTTCAGAAACAATTGGATTTGAAATCAAAATAATGGATAAATGTTGTGTTTGTGGTAAACAGCCACGGATCAGGAGCGGACTGCAAACGCATCCTGTGCGAAAGCAAAATGAGTCCGTGCTGCTTCTGCACCGCATACACATACTGTATACGCACTGCAGTCTATACCACATTCAATGTTATGGGAAAGAGCCATCATGACAAAAATTTATATAAATATATTTAAGTTGTAAGAATTAAAAAAGCTTCAATTTGAGAACAGAAACCCATCATGAGTTTAAAAACTGGCTATGCTTGTAAGGAAGTTTGGGAAATATTAACTAATTTCTGTATCCAATACAGCCTTTAAGTCATGTGACTAAAGAACGAACGACTCAGGAGAGTCAGACCTGAGACTCCAGAGGTTAACTAATTTCTCTTTCCGATACAGATAGCATAATCTAGTTCAACACCTGAGGTACCGCTAGAAAGAGCTCTATGACCAATGTATGGCAAAAAAAAAAAAAATTTTCTGCCATATGTCTATTCTAGAGACATTTTGTTACACGTTTACTTAGTGATTCTTTTGCTTTATGTCTGTTCTAGAGACACAGCTTTTTGTTGTTTTTTACAGCTTTTTGATACATCTCTAATTGGTTTTCTTTTGGAAATATGTTTCAAATTCACACTGAATGCATTTATGACTGTAAAGCAAGTCTGTGTGTGTCAAAATCGTGATTAAAATTGAAATCGCAAAATTGATCAAAGAAATCGCGATAGGTTTTTTTGTCCATATCGCACAGCCCTACTCAGGGCTCGTTTAATAATGGGTTCAGGTATTCATTCCTACTTACAAGAGAATCACAGAAGGATCAGTTGCAAAGCTACATGACAGTATATCTTGAATCTGCATTACCTAAATATATCTTAAGTGGAAGAATATCTCAGTCATTTTAAAAACAACAATGAAAAACAAATAAAAATTAAATCTGTCTCTCTTAAAAGTGTTGAACAAGAACAGTTTGTAAAAGCGTCTACTTTCCTTCATAAAAGAGTAGCAAACTACAAGTGACACATGCATTATAAGACAATTGAACATAATAGGAAACTCATAAGAAAGCACAATGATATCATTTATATCATGAAGCAAAATGATACACAAGAATACAACTTTTGTGACATTGTTCTTTGTGGAGGAACTCCATCTTTGAGTTGATCTGAATCTCACAGTTGAATCTGCTGGTTTTGAAGATGAAGATGAACTTTATTCACTGTAAAAACTTTAGAGAATGTTTTTTCATCATGTCACTTGTAATGTCTGGTTAGGACAGATTTATCCAGATTCTATATTTTTTTGCTTTACACATTATTATCTGGCATTTGATGAGGACGCAGCATCAGACCTAAAAGTGCTGGATCTGAAGATGATCTACTAACTGTAAATGTTTTTTTTGTATGACGTTGAAGATGACATGAAGATGAATGACTGAAACGCTTCCCACATGCAGTGCAGTGATACGGTTTCTCTCCAGTGTGGATCCTCTCGTGTGTTTTCAGAGTTGCTGACCGACTGAATCTCTTGTCACAGTGTGAACACTTGTAAGCTTTCTCTCCAGTGTGGATCCTCTCATGTGTTTTCAAACTTCTTGCTGTAGTAAAAGTCTTTTCACACTCAAAGCACATGTACTCTCTCACAGCAGAATGTGTTTTCTGATGTTCTTTTAATTGTTTTTGACATGAAAAACTCTTTCCACACAAATGACATGAATGTGGCTTCTCCTTTGTATGAACATTCAGGTGTGTCTTCAGGTATGAAGCCCACAAAAATATTTTGCTGCATTGATCACATGTATGCAGTTTCTCTCTAGTGTGGATGTTCATGTGTCTCTCAAGGGTTGACGAGTCTGAGAAACTCTTCCCGCATTGATCACAAGTGAATGGTCTCTCTCCAGTATGAACTCTCATATGGCCTGTAAGGTGTCCTTTTATTGTGAAACTCTTTCCACACCGGTCACATGTATACAGTTTCTCTCCAGTGTGGATCCTCTCATGTGGTTTCAGGTATCCAGACTGACTGAATCTCTTGTCACAGTATGAACACTTATAAGGTTTCTCTCCAGTGTGGATGTTCATGTGTATTTTAAGGTATGGAGATTGTGTGAAACTCTTCCCGCACTGATTACAAGTGAATGGTTTCTCTCCAGTATGAACTCTCATGTGAACATCATATTTATATTTGTTTGTCAAACTCTTTCCACACTGAGAGCAGATGAAAGATTTCTTGGCTCTTTTCTTTAAATCTTTCTTTTTGGTTTGAGAGCAGCTCAAAGGTTTTTCTCTGCTTTTGGCATTATTTTTCTCCTCATATTCACTCAGTTCTTGATTATCCTTGTTTTCTTCAATCAACTCTGAAATAAAAATAAAAATGGTTAATTTTCAGTAAATCTCAGTAACCCTGATGTAACAATTTAAAGTAGACAGTTGTTATACAAAAGTTTGGAAACTTTCCATGAATGAGGTACATTGATCTTCAAATTATTATTTTTTTAAATATTGTAATCACAAATGCCATGTTTCTATATGGAGAATTATTAAATATGTTTAACTACACAATTATCTAACATAAATATTACTGAAAAAGTATACAACAAATCTAAATCTGCTTGAAGCTTTATAACCTCCTGCATTATTAATGAAGAATGAAGAATAATCACCAACCTGTCTGTTCTTCAGTATCTTCAGTGTGTTTGATTCTGCAGGGTTCTGGATCTCTCATCTTCTCTCTGTCCTCTTTAATAAACTCAGTCTTTGCAGATTTCAGCTCTTCCTGATGATTAGATGCTCGTCTTCTCTTGTGAACTGATGGAGATATTCCAGCATTTATTGCTGAATTACTGTGGGAGGAGTTTCACTGATGATGTGTTACTGTGGGAGGAGCTTCACTGATGATGCGATTACTGTGGGAGGAGCTTCACAGATGATGCGATTGCAGTGGGAGGAGCTTCACTGATGATGCGATTACTGTGGGAGGAGCTTCACTGATGATGTGATTAATGTGGGAGGAGCTTCACTGATGATGCGAATGCAGTGGGAGGAGATGATCTGCCAAAATAAAAAGTATATCACAGAGTTACTGAACTAATTGTTATACTAATGGATAACAGAATAAAATAATGCATTGTTAATTATTCCAGATAGACTATAAATAATGGTAAGAAAAACAGTTGAAATCAGGGCTTGAAAATAAAATAAATAAAAAATCAATCAATCGGTTCACTCCCAGCAGAATCTATATTTTAACGTTTCTGTTCCAGCGTTCCTCTGTATTATTACCGTTCCGAAACCGATTCGGGTAGAAGAAATGCCGGTTAATAACATTATTTTTTTAAAAACAATTTTCTTTGCCTATAATAATAATTATTACTAGGCAATATTATAGGGTGGGTGG